GTGTCAGAGGTGTGGAGTGGATCTCGCTTGCTCGGTCAGTCTGCGTCGCGAGAAGAAGCGTGCGCGCGCGCGCGCGCGCGTGTGTGTGTGTGTTCAATCCGTACCGACCGTTGCGGGAGGGGGCAGGTGTGACCTTGTAAATGAAAATGGTAGTTTGTTTATGATTTTAAAGGTAGCTACACAGGCATTTTAATAAAAATTACTAAGAAAAAGTATTTTTAGTTTTCAATTTGTTATCTCCTAAACCAATGCCGTCCCCCACTTGATTCTTGCGGGGAATTACTCAGAAAACTCTCCCCTACAACATATCTAAGTGGCGAGGAAATCGGTGAGGTGTGACCTTTTCTGCATATTTACCAAATATTGTTCTAAAGTTGGTCTTGATCTTTTTCTACAATCGATTGACGGTCCTGTAAAATTATTCTGTGTATATACATATACGAGTTTTTTTACACTCTGCACAGTACCTTAACATTAGTGTCATCGATACAGTTCGCTGGCCGATCGCGGAATGCGTCCGACACCGATTAAATCCTCGTTAAATATAGATCTGATGTCTGAAACAAAAACAAACGTTGCTTCTAAATCATGTGTGTGCACTATAACGTACCGTGTACCTATATGGTACGATGTGACATCACATGATATAATAAGATGTGCTGTAATAGTCGGCACGCGACTCCGAAAAATTCTTCGCGTTAGAGCGTGTAAGTTGAAACAAGATTTATTAATTGTTCATCAGCATCGATTATTTGAAATAATGAAAGAAGATAAAATATTTTTCATTCTTATACTCTTAGATGCAACTGAATTTCGTGACGATGCGAAACTTCTACAATCAAACTTACAATAGATAATATTGGTATAACATATACATACCATATATTCTTTCTCATATTTAGTCTAATTTTATTATTGCCCTTTCTAAAAGTATTTCGGACAAAATTAAAACTCCATTGTACTTTTATTTATATTCATTTATAGTTTATGCCACTCGACGACATATTTATCTGAACACTTTTAAACTACAAAATGCGTGCACATAATCTCAGTGGCAACTTTAATTGCTATGCTGTTTTGCGATTGTTGTTATGACTCGTGTTATTTCATTGCGATAGTCACGGTGCCGATTAAATCGTATGCAGTACGAATGTGGACGCGTATATAAATCTTACCTTAGCCGAGATCCAATCTGGCTAAGGTATCGGGCTCGGGCTTCCGGAGACGTTCGCATTTTCATCGAGAAAGACCACGCAGCAAATTACTTAAAAACACACAAGGTCGTGCGAAGAGATAAAGAAATATAATGACATATAAGAAGCTCTGGGACCGAAGTTATAAAGTTTTTAAAGCCGCGCATTTCGTGTTATGGCTATTACGTCTTTTTCACGCGTCATTATTTAAAATTACCCCGTACAGTCTTCTAATTCTCCGTAACCCATCGGCCTTACATCTTCACCGGCCGATTATTCTTAGGACGTTCTTGGCTAGCCAAGCCGATTCTACGACCAGGCCGCATGCGTCGCGGCGCCTCGCCAATGCGTCTCGACTGGCGTCTAACGCTAACTTAGACGACTATATCCCTCCAATAACGTTTCGAACCGCGTACGCTGCTGTTTGGCTTGATAGTGCCGCGCCATACTGTTATCCGGATAAACGCGAAGGACGAGGATTAAAAAAGCATAAGCTAAAAAAAAGAGAGAGAGAGAGAAGAAAGTGAAAAGTTCGCGCTCGGTTCGCTATCAACTGATTCACGAATACGCGAATATCACGCGATTACTGCAACCGGATACATAGGTACATTTATCGCCCCGGTTTATCGCTCGATTACGATGTTTATACAGTTAGATTGGGAGTGATTTTATTGTATTGTTGTCAGTAACGAGAAATTTGTGTGATATCCGTTAGATTAATGAAATAGAATCGCGCGTAGCACACGATCGCAGCCAGCGCGAGTGTGCGCAATCGATGAAGCTATCACGAATTATACGAAATCGCGTGAGAACAGATAATCGTTTCGCACCCAAACTTATAACGCTGGAAATAGATCGCTGCGTGCGAATGTTAATAGTTCCTAGAAGGAAATTTACTTTGAATTTGACTCGCCCGGCTGTCGCGGCAAATTTATCATTCCAATTTCTGTTACTTCGGATACGCAATTTCCATTACGACGCGCGGACGTGTGAATAAATGTACAAAATAAAAATATTGCACAAATTCGGACAATTAAATTCCCCGCAGAGCTTATATTCACGTTACGCAAAAGACAATTATTGAGAGTGAAATCGAAGAAGAATTCATGATTTACACAATTAATTGCATTATATTGCAAATCTTTTTTGATCTCTTGTCTGTATTTCGTCTCGTTGCTTCTGCCGGCCGGCGATCGTATCTCGCACTCAGTCTGGCGCGATGATGTCATCGTAGAAAAGGAATCGTTATGCACAAAAAAACGGTGACACCCTCATGGTCATGTATTCTGAGAGCGACGTGACATCGACACACGCGTAGTCGCCAATTGTTAATTAATGTTAAATTAAGAAATAGCGTATTGAGACGAATCGTGATAACTTTCATAACTTGTAATTTTGCGTAATTCTCTATCAAAGAAGTGAAAGTATGCCATCGTTGAAAAAATAGATCGTTTTAGCGCTGACGACTCGAAAATGTGCGCTTTCCTTCCGAAAGGACGATGACAGCATACAAGTTCTTGGCAGATGACATCAACGGTTTAAATTATTCTTTGCTTATATTGATTGTGCAATCGGCAGCAAAAAATCATGTAATTTATGCTAATCTTATTTAAAGAGAAGATTTCTCTGTGTTTACCAAAAGAAAAAAATTCTTTAGCGAATATAAAATGAAAAATTGTATTTATATTACTAACGTTTCGTTATAAAATCGGGCGATATTTTTATCTTCCTACTTTATTCGTTTCGATAAGAAGATTAAAATCCGAAAAACAATAGCATTTTGTTTTGAGGCACATCGACTATGTGTCGTGTCGATGCTAAATGAAATCGTCTCGTAAAATTGTGTAGCCACGTTCTTTGAACAGTATCTTCCTCGTGGTGTACCACGAGTGTGAACAGTCGGCCAAACTCTCGTCGGTACATACTTCCTTCGTCTACTTTTAGCCAAGGCTGCCCTGACTTCGCCTGGGATCAGGCCAGCCGAAGCACAGCGACACGCATTTCCGATTCTAAATTCGTCTCACCTCTCTACGAATGATCACTTAAGGCCGCTGATCGTCCCATAACATTTTTTCCCCATGGAACTTAATATATTATAACATGCTTGTATCGAAGATATACCTTATCGGAATAATATTTCAATAAGTTATGCATTATACACGTATATGTTATAATCAACGATAAGAATAATTTTTTTTATTATAATTTATCCTCTTATTCATATTTTATATATAAACAGTTTAGCCATTTTTGTATCACTTGTATTTTTTTCATATAATTTATATTATTCAGTGTTTTGTTAAAAAAAATAATATACAGAACTATTTTAATTTCAAATATATCAAACAATCGGTGTTACTCGTAATATCTCGCCAATCGTCAATCTTCCCTTAAATGTCCAAATTGAATGAATTCAACGTGTTTGTATGATAGAAATAAATGTTGGAGAGCTGCTCTCTGACCATTGCGAGATGCTCTTTCGCCGTCCGCGGAGAGTTACCGTTTAAATCGTCCTTTTAGACTCGTCGGCTCGCTTCGTGGGAAGTCCGAGAAGGCGAGCGAGGATCTGGAGGCGTTCGAGAACATCGAACGTGAGATCGAGCGCCTGCGAAAACGACTAAACGAGGCACGCGAAAGCGCGTCGAACTTATACATTTACGGCGTTGACCAAGACGCTACTGAGATCGAACTGGGCGAGCTACGCTCGCAGGTTGAGGATCTCGTCGATACCGCGAAGAAGTTCTCAGGAAACATTAAGGCGCGGTACCAAGCTAGCCAGCAGCTAGTACCAAGTGACATTACCCAGCATCTGACCGCTCTCGAGCTTTGTGCCGAGGCAACGGCACAAACGATGGAGGAGAAACAGAGGGAGCAAAAACGTGCCAGGACCGTCAGGTCGGACTATCTAGCCGACGTGGACGAAGTGCAGGCATGGATCCGCCAAGCCGAGCTCAAGGTGCAGGACAGATCGATCGAGCCGGCCATTCTCAGGGAGCACCTTAGACAAATACAGAACGAGCTGGGCACGATTGGCGACAAGCTCGAACGACTGACGAAGAACGGGCAAACCATCGTTAAAAACACGAGGGACGACGCCGAGAAGGAGCTAATCACTAGCACGATCAACAATCTTACTGAACAGCTGGCGCAGGTCAGGAGCTGGCTGGAGGAAAAGAAACAAATCGTGGGCGACACTCTAGATGCCTGGCAGAGGTTCCTCGCGCTTTACGAGGCCGTCAAGGCATGGACGGAGGAAAAAAGACAATTCCTGATCGAACCACTGAAGCTCAGCACTCTTGTGCAAGCCAGGCAGAGACTGCACGAATATTCGGTATGTGGAGGAACGTCACTTTTCACAATCTAAGATCTGTGATAACGCTCGGCTGAAACTTCCTTCCATTTTATAGACAGCAGTTAAGAGCTGCAAGCAGGTGAATAAGAATCTCAGTGATATGGGCAGAGAATTGGAGAATATCGGTCAGGTAACTAGCGTAGGGGATTTACCGGAAAAACTGACCGAGGCAGAAGAGGGCAAGGTTCAAGTCGAGGGTCAGCTGTTGGAAAGGGTTAGTGAATAATTCCTTCGACAGAAATTTTAACTATGTATTATTCAGCCGATTATCAAAAATCCCCGTATTGCAGAATGCATTGCTGCAAGAAGCCAGCGAAGAGTGGGAGCAATGCGAGAGGAAGATGAAGGACGTGCGGAGCTGGATGGAGAAAGCCAGGCAGACGTTGGAGTTGCCACAGAATAAGAAGAAACCGCTGCGTGATCAACATGCTATTCGCGAAAAAATGCTTAGCGACATCGCGATTCAAAAAACAAAGATCACCATTTCGGTGGAGAAGCTCGAGGTGCATTTTAGGTCCGGTATTGTCGGTGACAATCGGGTGAAAGACACCGCCGACGATCTCATCAACGAGCTCAACTCTCTTCACAGCACCGTCAAAGAACAGACAACTTCTCTAGAGGCTTGCTTAGCGCAGATAGATCAGTATCAACAGGTTAGCGGATTGGGAAAAATGGATTCAATTTTCAGGCAGTACAGTATTTTTTCTTCATATCGAGCGAGACTGTCTTGTTTCCGTTTCAGGAAATTCAACAGTTGAGACAACACATTGTGCAGGTGGAGCAACAGCTGAGGACGGTACTCAGTCCTACGTATATGCCGAATGACCGAGAAAAGGCTCTTCAAGAGCAACAGGTAGGCACAACTCTTATTGTCCGGATTTTCTTATCACCTGCACAGCGCGCTGAAGCAGCAATTGATTTTTGCATTTGCTCGATACCAACTCAAAACCACCACCAAGAGAACGCGTTATTCTATCGCTCTCTGAATTGCTACGCCACGCGCGCGATTGTCGGGGGTAGTTTTCTGCCTTTTCGGGCGCGATTAAACAAATGTCTCTTCTTATTTGAGTAGTACTCGCGTAATTAGAACGCACGAGACCTATAACTAACCGTCGATCGAGCCACTATTAACCACATATAACTACGATTAATTTTTAAGTTATTTGCCATTTATCGTCTACTTTCGCCATATCGAAAGACAAGATTCAAAACTAATCTATAATGTCGAGTAACTTTCACAAATTTACAATATTAATGAATAAAATTATTTCTTTCACTATGTAAAATGAAGAAATGGCCAATAACTACATGCATAAGCACGACTAGCGGTGGAAACATCTTAAATGAGATATTGTTATCAAAATATAATCATATATTTTATTTTAAAACTAATTGGAATTATAAAACAATGAATTCAAGATGTTTTCCACTGTTTATGTCATACGTCCATCTTTTATCCTACATCCTACCTCTTCTTTTACGTGCGTATCTTGTTTTTGTTTTTTTCATGCATCAAAAATTTCAATAAGTCTACAAACATTATTTCCCACCGAGAACTTCATTTGATATCTGCTATTCGAGTTAATTTTTAGATTTAAATTACATTATCAATTCAACGCACAAATGTAAATCTTGCGTAGAATCTTCTAAACTATCCAATATTTTATTGTCAGACAACCACATATGTGCTAATATTTACTAAAATCGCCTATCCTGAACTTTTTACAGTAGACACAAGGACGCGGATTGGTAAAAGATTGAAAATAAATGTTTATCTCTCTTTCTTTCTCCCGTTTGTATTTGGCGATAATTCGCGAATTGGAAATCGAATCCTTGAAAGTTTTCGATCTCGCGTTCATCATGGTGGTACATCGCTTACGGGGTACTGGTTGGTATCATGTTCTAACTACGTTGTTCCGTTTTCCTCTTCTCACATTTGCCCAACGTATACACGTATACTCCTCGTACGTATCCTAGTTCTTAAGGATTAACTTTGCGAAACTTTTGTACTATCGTTTCTGAAGGGGATTACTTGATTTTGCTTGTTTTCTGTGTTTCTTTTTTTTCTGAGTTCTTATCGTTTAACTGTTTCACTTATCACGCGTGTACATCGCTATACATCTTCGTTTATATACGCACACATGTGTATATGTATATACATGTATACGTATCTTTTTCTTTACATACACATCTCTTTGTCCATGTGTGCGCGCGTGTATGTCTACGTAATAAGCAATCACGCACATATGCCACTTACGTTCTAGAATGAAAGACCACGTAGCAAAAACGCGAAGTACTGCCGCACATTCACGTAAAGCGTGTCATGCACCGTTCACGTACGCATCCCTTACGTGATCTTTGGATCTTTACGTTAGACTTTTGCAATTCACAAAAACGTACATAAGCCATAGGAAAATCAAGCGACCTCCGATGCCAAGACGCGTGCCGAGACCATGCGAGACACGCAGATAGAGTGCCAATATTCTTCTTTTTTTTTTTTATAATAATTTTTTATAATAAAATTTTTTATAATATAATAATTAGTTTCTGTTTATTATTATTTCAATGCATTTCATTTTTTTACCAGTTATTTCATTTATGAATTTTTCTTTGCTATACTCCTCTTACTCCTCCACACCCTTGTCATTTCCAATCGCCTTTACTTCTTTATCTGCCACTGTCCTTCTACCGCTATCTTCATCGTTATCGCATTTCGACCCTCTTGCGATCATCGTTGTCTACACCGTTCAACGGGACCGTTTCTCTCTCGTTATTCATCTCTGGCCGTGACTTTTTCGTGCTCTGCGCTCCTCTTTCTACTCAACGTCTCCTTCATCGTCGCAATCATCATGGCCTAACCCCCCCAATCCTTATTCCGTCCCTCTCGCTCGTTCGACGTGTTAACGCTCTCGATTTGAATTCGCGATTTCAATTCCACGCTCGAGCAGATCTACCGTGAGAAAATTAAGTCCTTGCAAAGTAAAATCCAGGCGCGCACCGAGAGGTCTAAGCTACTCGTGCAGCGAGGCACACCAGACTTGGAGCCCTTGGACCCATGACAATAGAGATCTACCCCCGTTGAATGAGTCCGGTTCTCATTGTCGTTATCCTCGCTTATTAACTTGGAATTACACTCGTCTATCTTTAAATATGTAACATTTATTCGCTACTATCGATGAATAACGACGACGATAACCGCCGCGTGTCAAATTATACGTGTAAAACTTGATCAAAGGCTACATTAACGACAAAGGCGACGTAATAAGAATACGAAGTGAAATCAATTCTCGTCTTTGTCGTCGACGCTCCTTGATACAATCGATAAAACTATTTTGTTTTTAGTACCACATAACTTTTCTAAGTTTTTATCGAGCACTGATTTCCTAATAGGTATCACTCTATAAAATTACGGACGCGATTACGTTACCATGTATGAGCGCGCGTCGTTTGTCCTAAATATCTGTGCTTAAATAGCCATACGATATGACTGAGTAAGGAAAAATAAAAGGTTCGTTCACTGTCAATCGGTGTTCAAGTACATTCATTTACGAAATCCACTCATTTTATTTACACACAGAGAGAGAGAGGTTTTTCGATATATTCTAATATGCGACCTGCTCAAACGAAACCTGGCTTTAAAAATGATACCGCCCTCCCATCCTATGATGAATGTAAAGAGACTCCTCAAAATTGACATAGTATATGTATTCCATTGCTGTGCCTTGGCTGACCTTCCGTGGTGGATAAAGCAGAGCCTGCAACAACGGGTGGAGGATTGGAAGCAACGCAGCAAGACACTGGTGGATCAGATACACGCGGTGGATCCACACTACGTACCCACCAACGACTACCGGTTTATAGGCCAAGCCTCGTACGCCGATATCGCAGCAGGACGTACCAATAGTCCGAGCTCGAGAAACTGTAGCCCGTATAGACATCAGCGAGAAGCCACTCCTCCTACCATGACCGCGCAAGTATTACGACCTGTGGTTATGCGAGCTCAAAAGTTGATTGTGGAATATCCTTCTTCATTAGACGAGGCACAGGCCTCGAGAACGGAAACTCAAGAAAGCGACGCAAGCTTAAACAAATTGCAACTGCAAACTGAGACACGCGTGCAAACGGACAATCGAGGCACGAACGTCGCGGAAGAATGTCAGCAAGATTTACCCCAAGTTATCGTCGAATCGTCTGCGCCACGTCGAGGACGATCGCCTACGCGGAAGACAAATTCATCTAGAGTAAAAGATCCCAAAACGGCTGAACAGAAGGAAGACATCGACAGACGTAATAATTCTCGTCCCGACGCAAATCCCAAGCAAGAGACGCAAGCAGAGCCCGCGAAGAATACTCTAGCGCCGCGAGAAGAACGAAGAGGGCGTTCACCTAGTCCTATGTGGGTTCCCGGCTCTACCTCTTATGCCGACATACTTCGCGGATGTATGCAAACGACGCAGGTTAACGCCGCTCCTGCACAACCGTCCAGGCAAAAGATGGTTTCTTTGTCCGGAGAATCTCGACGTGGTCGGACCGAAGCTCCTCGCACGGAACAAGTCACCGTAGACATTGTCGCAAACGTCGACAATTCTCAACAAGCCACCGAGGTCCAACAAGTTGTGCCGGCGCAAGAGATACAGATGGAAAGTGTACGAATCGCGGAGACTTATTGTCAATCCGCCGAAAGTTCCACGGAGAAGTCAGAGGATCAAAGCTACGCCGAGTCTGAGCCGACTGATTGGGCCGACGAGGCCTTGCAGGATTACAATGTACTGCAACACGTGAAACCTTACGAAAATGTGCCGAGACAGCCTCAACCGACGGAGATCTACGACTATATGATACCGGAGACGATGCCGGAACTGGTAGGCTTCATTGGATCTCATCTCGGAACGTATCCAGTAAGTTCGTACGTTTACGCGCCGTCCGGTCATCATCAGCAAGTGCAGCTCGATGCAATAAATTTGAATCCTTATAACGATGGTTCCTTAGCTTACGTGCCGGAACATTATGTCGCGCAAACCACGTATCTTTCGGCATCGGATATTTATCAGCAGACTCCGATGCAGCAGCCTGTTAATGATATGAGACACGCAACTACGATTTTGGCGGAAAAGCCTGTCGACAAGATACCAGTGGTTAAACAATCGGAGGTTCCTAAAGACACCATTGTAACTGAACGTATCGATAAGCCTGAACAGCAGAAATCTGTAAATGTCTCGAATGTAGAAACTTCCCCAACGAATAAAACAGAAGGAAAGAATATATCAGTGAATACTATGGAAATCAAAGGGCAAACCTTCTCGTACGCGCAAATACTTTCGCATGGACTCAGTCCGCGTGTTACTTCGACACGAACCGTGAGTGAAGTATCAACCGCGGATTATTACAGTAAAGAGCGTTCTGATTCGCCAAAAGGGTCAGTCGAGTTGTCATCTCGTGAATTATCGCCGTCGCAGGAATCGAAATTTGACCAAGACCTGCAATCATTCACGGTAACATCCGAACAATCTAGACAATCTAAAGAGAACGACTGGGATACGATGAAGAAACGGGAGGTTAAAAAGAGGCAACAGCAATCGAGCGATAAAATCAAACAAGCGGATGAGAGGAAATCTCGAAAGCTTATCGATAAACCGAAGGAGAAACAAAGAAAAGAAAAATTAAGTCCGCTGAAGCAGCTGGAAACGCAAGATGAAATTGTTCCTGATGAAATCGTTCCTGATGAAGTCGTCGATAGTCCAACGCAAAAAGAGGAAAAACCGGTGCAGCAAGAAGAGCCAGCAGTGGATTTAGTAGATACAAATCCATCACAAGAAAAGAAACGTAGACAGAAGAAAAAGAAGGTAGATAAATCAGTAGGAGATGAAATTGATAAAGCGCTTAAAGAAATCGAGGACATGGATAAACAGAAAACAAGATCTCAAAAAGACAAACCTAAAGAGCAAAATAAAGAACAAAACAAATCGCGAGATTCTATTAATGAAATGGAAAAATATAAAGATGAAGCTGACAAGAAGCAAAGCAAATCCGGTGAGAAATCTAGGAAATCAGGAAAATCTAAAGAAGTAACAAGGGTAAAAGAAACTATATCTATGGAACATGCCACATTGCCAAGTCAACTCAAAACAAGCGATCAAAGTATGTTAAAAGATAACGCAGAAGATAAAGAAAATACGAAAGACGCAAAAGTTTCAGAGTCTAAAAATGAACAAGTCCAAAACGATATTTCTAAGGAAACGTTGAAAAATCAATTTCAAATCGACAATAGTATCAACATTGATTCTGACCAACCCGACACTATAATTAAATGTAAAAGCAAAAGTGACAAAAATACAAAGGCCAAGGAACGTAGCAGAGAAACTTCAGAGAATAAAGTCCAGGATCAATCGGATGTTTTAAGTAGTAATAAGAAAGGGGATAAAATAAAGATTTTTGACGAAAACACTGTAACAGAGGTTGTAACATTACCAATCGTTCAAAAGATTGAATTAGAAAATACAAGTGAGAAGACAAATACAAAGATTGAAGATACAAGAAAACATAAAGATGTTTCAAAAAAGGAAAAGAACAAGGCAAGATCAAAAGAGTTGAAGATGGAAGCGGAAGGGAGTAACATAAATCGACAAAAGCTCGAAATCGATATTAAAGAAATGTTCGAAGATAAATCTCTAGAATCAACCAAACTGACTGAGATTAAAAGTTTGGATTCAAATGCGTTTGATGGCACAAAAACCACTAGTGATGTAGACGAAAACATAAAAAGTAAAACCAATTCTCGAAAGAAAGACAAAGCTTCTAAAAGTAAAATAAAATCTGAAGTCGCAATCGATACATCTTCGACAGTTCCGACAAGCAAAGTTTTGGATGAGATTAAAATAAAACCAAGTGACACAGAAAAATACGACGTTCCAAAATTAGAACAAATAATCGATGAGACTAAAATTGCAGAAGCAGCAGTAGCAGTTGAATTGACAGAAAGCAAAGAAGTGGAGCACCAAAGAAATACTAAATTAGAAGCGGAAGGCTTTGCGAGAGAAAATTTAAAGATTATGGACACAATGAATGAGAAAGAAGCAATTAATAACACAAAGACGATTGGGAAAACTGAAAAACTAGAAGTGGAGAAATGTCAGACGAAAACAACGAAACAAAAGAAATCTGAAAAGGCAAATTCTAAAGTTCAAAATAAAAGAAAAGAGGATAATACTGACATATCGCAGCCTGTTGAAAGTAAGTCTGTTGGAAAGAAAGATGAGCCTGACACCGAATCTTTAATTATACCTATGATAGAAACAGCCGTTCAAGAGCAATCCACGGAAAAAACGAATTTGGCTGAGCAACATGTACCAGTGCCCAAAAGCAGCTGTCTTGTTCAGTCAAAAACGGACGCCGAAAATAACCACGGCGTTAAAGTAGACGAGGGAGAAGATACAGCACTCGGTCACGTTAATAAATGTGTGCCAGAAACTATTCCTAAAAGTAAAAAAAAGGGCAAATCAAAAGACAAGACTGCCACTCAATCTACTGCATCGATTCATGATACAAAACCTATAGACAACTCTAAATTAAAAAATGTAGTTGAGCCCGCAGCATCTTCGGTCGAAAAATCTATAACAATGCCAGAAGCGGTTGAAATTACTTCTAGTACAGAAGTACTTTCTAATGAATCTGAAGTTGAAAAATCGAAAGATGTGCTACACAAAGAAAAGACATCGAAACGCACGAAGAAAAAAGGCTTATCCCCTAAGCACACCGTTGAGCAAACAAAACAGTCTCCTTCTTTTTATGATAAGTTCCAAGAAGAAATCATTTTCAAGGATGATTCAACGAAGGGGGAAGAAAGTTTCAAAGTTACTAGTCCTAATGAAGAAAAGTTTAACAAAAATCTACCTTCTCTTGCGAAAATTGATAAAGCTGAAATTGAAAAGACTCAAGAGTCACAGAAAAAGAATGAAGTTGAAACCGAATTTAATTCTAAAATTTTGAGCGATTCGGTCGACAAAGCTCACCTACAAGACAAGCGCACAGATGAGATACATAATAATAATTTAGAATTGGGACAACCGTCTTCGACAGGAAAGGCTTTGATTATAGAGAAAATGGTTACTACGGTAACGACCACCACCAGCGCACCAGGATCGGTAAAGGTCAAGCCACCCGATGTCAAGTCCGTTAAGTCGATAGAAATCATAGAAAACATACCCCTTCCCAAAATAGTAGGTTCCAAAGTTACCGAATTGATCACTTTGCGTCCTGAAACCGTAGAGGCTAGTCTTACCACTACTTACGCTAGGGTACCGAACGATTCTCTCGTTAGTAATTATTCGGATCAATTGCAATCGGATCAGACAGCGATTTCTCAAAGAGTAGATTTAACTTCGGCAAACTCCACCGAGAATATCGTGACAGCCGACGAATTGGCCTTGTTTGGTAGCGTGCGAGATAGGAAAAAGATTTGTCCGGGCATTTCAGAGAATCGCGATATGTCAAAGAAATCCCCGCCGATGACTACTGCACCTGAGGAAGCGAAAGGAGAATTTTCTGCTCAATTAGATGATAACACGGAAGGATTAGGAGATCGATTAAAGGTAGAAGTTCCTGAAGAAAGCCACGAGATTAATATCAAACAAGAAAACACTATTACGACAACGACACCAGGAATCACCGTTGATATTATTTCGCAAAATGACAATATTATAGAAAGTCAAAATATTGATAATTCTGTTAAAGCTGATAATGTTGTATTAAGTGATAAAACTAGTCAAGCTGATTTGAATGCACGAATTCAGGAAAGAGATAAATGCACGGATGGAAATGGAGTTAATGTTGAGACAATAGCCAAGGATGTTAAAGAAGCAGCAGATGAAGAAATAGAGCCTGAGATAAAATGTGAAAGCGAATCCACAATCAGTAAAATAAAGGGCAAAGAAATATCCGAAGGTATAAAAACGAAAAAGCAAACGGTGCCTGAATATTTATTAGAGCTTGTTAAACCTTATGCCATGGATCGCCATGCTTACAATCATGCGGAAAGTGATTTTTACCGTTATTTCAAAGTCGTCAAAATAGTAAAAGAACCACAACCACCTGCTGTCATAGTTCAGCCAAGGCCAGAGAGCGTAGAGAGAATTGTACAAGAATCAGTGATGAAACCTGTTCAAACAGCTAACCAAGAAATGCATGAAGTCGATTACAGAAGACGTGCTCTTCTTATAGAGGCGCCAAAGTATCCGATTACCAGTTTTCATGAATTTGAAACACAATGGATTAAAACGAAATCCATTCCTGACGATTCTGAAACATCTTTAAAAACTGCAATAGAGAAAGGCAAAGAAATTGTTGAACAAAAGGAGGCAGTAAATGCGGTAAATCTTACAGAAGATGCAACTACGATTAACGTAGAGAAATTGCAAACAACCGAAACAAATAATACTGAAGATAAAGATAAGAAACCAAAAGATTTACAGCAAACTGTACATTTAGTTTCTGACGATTCCTGGATGAGTATTTTGGACGAGCCAATGATGATTGAGGACGATTTTGATGATACATTTAATTCAGACGAAAATTCAATTAATACAATAGTAAATAGAGAACTGATAGATGTCGAAAGTCAAGATCGAAGAAATGAAGTACAAATGAAAGAAAAACCATTATCTGAAGCCATTTCTAACGCTTCATTTGATGTAATAGATTCAATTAGTACTGCAAGCGATTCAATATCACAGGCAATTACAGAATTAAATGTCTCTGTTAAACCATCTACGGAAAAAATCAGTGATAATCAGTTGACAGATGCCGGAACAATAACAGATACAAAAATACAAACAAACGAAACTGTTACGAAAAATAATGTTGAAACCGAGCAAGAAATATCCGAAATTAAAACAACGCCAGCAAAAATATCATCTGTACATTTAGAATCCGATGATGCTTGGATGGCTCTTCTTGAAGAAGAAATAATAATTGATGATGATTTTGACGAGCTGGAAATAGAGGCAATAAAAGATGATCAAATTGAAAAAAGAGAAAGAGAAATTGAAAAGAAAAAATCAATTATTGAGAAACAAAAAGACAAGATTGAGCAAAAAGAACCAATTATTGAAGAACAAGAAGCGAGAGTTAAAAAAGAAGCAATAATTGTAAAACCAGAGGAAGAAATTAAAGGGGAAAAAATAATTGAGAAACCTGAAGGAGAAATTGAGATGAAAGAATCAAAAACTGAAGTTCTGACCAATACATCTGTAACGGAAATTGCTGTAAAGGATGAATATCACACCAGCATAAAAGATATTCAAAATGAAGTATCATATACGGACGAAAAGCAAGGCGACAAAACGAAAAGTCAAATAAAGAAAAAGAAAGAATCAAAACATGTTAAAGTCACAAAAACTAAAGATCAAGCAAAAATTAAAACTGCAAAGAAGTCAAATGACACAGAAATTAAAACAGATACTATTGAAGACGATTTATCATTGTTAAAAAATAATTTAGAAGAACATAAAATGTTGAAAAACGAAACTGATTCAACAATAAAAGAAGCAGAAAAATCGTTGATAGTCGACGAACAAACTGAATTATGTAGAGATAATTTAAAATTGAAACTTCTTTCAGACGAATCTGTATCAAAACCAAACTCACAAGATACAATTGACGAAGAGCACGAAAAGCCGAAACATGAAGAACGTAAGCTGAAATCTGATAAGAAATCCAAAAAACAAAACCAGAAATCTAAGATTATCGTTAAAGAGAAATCAGCAACGGAGAAATGTGAGAGTAACATAACAGATGAGAAAGATGACAATATTGTCTATTCTAAAGTGACAGAAATTGATCCAGATATGCCTAAATATGACACTCGCTTAAATCCAAATGCCAAATCATGGGCAGCCATCGTTGGTGCAAAAGGTATAACCGAAACAACTATTACTTCGAAAGACAATTCTTTGAATAATCAGACATCCGCTGTCCGTCAAGATACAAACGATAATGCTACGAATATTGTGAAACAACTACAAGCGTCGATTGTGCACGATTCCTGCGAAATTTCACCAAAAGAAGAAACGCTCGCGATGCATTCGCCTTCATTAGAAAATCAGCTAAACAAAATTGTCAACGAAGAGTTAAAGACAACAACAGATGAAATTGTCAAACCAATCGTGGAAATGTCCACTGTACCGTCGAAACAGATTAAAGAAGGCAACAAATCTTACGCGCAAGTTACAGCCTCTTCCCGAAGAACTCCCCAGACTTCTCAAGAAGAAATGTACTCAGTCAAACCTATTCCATCAAAGACTGATGATTTAGCAATCAAAGTATCGGATGAGGTACGCGAAAATTTTAGTACAGAAAAATTACCAAGTCCAGTAGAACAGGATAATAAACAAGTAAATGAAACGATAGTACAACAATCTTCTGATCACCAAACAGTTACTGTAAGCCTCAGTTCCCAAGAAGAATCTATTCCTTGGGTAGAAGAAGTGGAAAAAGAAACATTGTCAGTTTCAACTAGTTCTGTCGATCCTATCAATGTGACAGATAATGAAACATGTGCAAAATTGGAAAATACATGGGCTGCAATAGTTGGGAAAAAATCCGTAGAATCGTTGGAAATTAATGATATTTCTAATTTTGAGCAAAATCTTCCTAAATCAGAACAGGTTATGGAACAATGGTCTCCAACGCAGGTACAGATTTATGTGGAGGAAGCTCCTAAACAAGAACCTATAGAGAATTTAGTTCAAGTGGATGAACAAGGTTTTATAGAATTTGTTAATCGGAAGGAGTTACGCTCTAGACGTTCTAGATCGCGTTCTCGAAGTGCTAAACGAGATAACAGACGTGCAATGGTAGAAACCTCAAATTCAATTAGGAATAAAGAAATTGAAACACAGGATATAACATCAGAAAATAGCGAAAGTATTAAAGTCAAGGAGGAGATTGAAAATAAAACTAAGCAACCTGTACAGAAAGATGAACAAAAAACAGTTGGCAAAAGCGATGAATTGGCGAAGATTATTCAAGAAGAAAATCCCAAATTATCTAAAAAGACACATGTATCTGACAGTAAAGGTAAAGACAAACAGAAAAATGACTCGAGTGAACGAAACAATGAAAATAACATGCAATTTGTTGAAAATGAAATTCATAATGCTGAGAATAAAATTATTCAAGAAATAAAAACCGAACCAGACGTAACATTTAAAGGTAAAAAGAATAAATCGAAAAAGAACAAAGACGCGAAACAGCAGGCTGAAGTTAATAAACAAAAGGAGTTAAAACACATCGAAAAACCGAAAGAAGATAAAACATCTGCAAATGAGAATGAAACAGATCATAAGGTCCAATTAGAAAATATCAAGGATGAATCAAGAAAGGAAACACAATTAGTTAAAGATACAACACAAGCGCAAGAGAATAAATGCAAGAATGTGGAAGCACTACCCATAGATCGGGACAATGTTACGAAGTCTAAGAAGAAGAAAAATAAAAAGGAAAAATTCGTCATTGAGCAACGAATTGAAAATACTTCTGATACTGACAAAAAGACAGTCGCAGCTGGAGATTTGGAAGAGAAAATAGAATCATCAATAGAGTCAAAATTAGATGACGAAGTAAAAATAAAACCCGAAGAAGTAATTACTACTGCAGATATATGTAATATACCTACATATCCGGAGACTAAAGAAATTCCAACAGAGATAATTAACAAACAAGAAAATATTAAGCAGGCTATAACTGTTGAAACTACAGAACAAAAAGGTATTGAACAGAAAATGGTAGTTGACGAATCAGAAAATACAGAGACATGTAAAGAATCCTCTTTAGAAAACGTAGAAAAAAATGTAGTGGAAGAAGAAGAAATACCTAAACTGGCCAAAGCGGAAAAACGAAAACAGAAGAAAAAGGGAAAAATTACCCAAAGCAAATCTACCAACTTACCTGATAATACAAATATCGTTGAAAATATCAAAACTAAAGAAACGGTTAAAATAATAGCAGAAACCATAAATACTGTGTCATCGAAAGATAAAATAGGTGATGAACCGATAATACAGTCTGTACAAAAAGGGGAGACTGAAAAGTCTTTGGAGACATCCGAAGCTGTAATCGAAAATGAAACCTCTCTTCCACAAATAACTCCGATAAAAGACCAACAAAAGGCCAAAAGCAAATCTAAGTCGAAAAAAGAAAAACGACAAGATGAAAAAACTAAATCTCAAAATTTTACAATACTTACAGCTGACTCTAAGGAAAACGAAACTCTATCTATTGCAGAAAACACTGAGATTATGAATTTATCTAAAGACGTGACAGTATGCGATATTACGCATACTAAGAAAGAAAATGTCAAAGATCAGGTATTAGATGATGAAATTACCTCTCCAATGGACATAATTGATAAGAATGATTTCTCTGTTAACACGGAAGCAATCAAGCAAGTAAATATTAAAGAATCAAAAATACTTGTGTCTCCCACAGAGAAAGAAGTAGATGAAGAATCTATTAACATTAAAGATTTGCTGCCATCCGAAAAGAATAAACAAACACAGAATTCTTCGGAGAAACAAGATACCAAGGCTGAAGATAAAAAAGATTCTCAACAACAGAAAGATTCAATAAAATGTCCGAAAGAAGATGCTATTAGTATTATAGATAAAACTATATCACTTGCAAATAAAATAATTCCTGTAACTAGCAAAGAAACGGACTTCGGAGCAGAACCTAGCGTTGACTTTCTAGAGAAAGAAGATAACAATTTTGTTTTAATTGAATATGTGAAAAAGCTTGAAATATCTAATAATGAAAAAGAAGTTAAAAATAAATATGAAATAAATGGAAAAGAGGTAGAAATGAATGGCGCTACAAAACCAGCAGAAAAGCAGATAGAAATAAATGAACAGATTATTGATGCAAGAGAAAACGTCCCCGAAGAATCGTCCACTGATAATATCACTTTGACAGAAAAAATTGAGTCTCAAGCGGAAGAATCGTACTCAAAACCTGACGATACTTTGAAATTGCACGATGAAAACGGAATGGACATGTCGGCTCCAATTAATCACGTCTCCAGACAAATAGAGTCACCGCTGTGTGATGACTCAATAAGCGCAGTTATAAAACATTCTCCACCGTCAGATAAATTATCTTCAACTGTGCAACAATCCTTTGAAGATGAGGACAAATTGAAGCGCACTACAAGCATCGAACAAGAGAGCTCTGATCTTTTAATCGAGCACCCGACATCCAAGGTACAGTTCTACATAGCGGACGAGATTTTAGTTCTGAATCCTGATCGACGGAAATATGTTCCATCGACGTCTTTTCCGCAGGAACAACCTGCTGCCAACTTATGTAGCCCGTGGTTCCTATCTCTCGACGGTAGTTTTTGGCCCGATAAACGACCCTATCACGAAGCCGAACGTAATCATTTCGAGAGCTTAGCTTTGCATACGAAAAAGAGTGTCTCACGCGATAGTAAACGTGATTTCGATGATCGCCATCATCCTCGAGATCGCGACGACGACAATTCGGGTGGCGGTGGCGGCAGTGGTAGATCACAAGATTCTTGTGGAGACTCGCGTTCTCTTTTGGGCGCACCCCAGACAGAGCGTATGATAGCCGATCTACCCGGTGGCATGTGCAGCTGGAGCGATTATAGCACTTATCTATCGAGCGAGAGCGAGCGGACAACGGATCACAGTCTACCACTCGGCACGATTGAAGATCCAACGTTTGATTCGGGTTTATCTTTGGATTACTCGTTGCCGAGTGATATCCAATCACCATCACCCGAATTCCTCTCGTCATTCTCTCCCTCCCATAATCTGCAGACCGAATCGCGCATGGAGTCTCTTACAGACGCCGAAGTAACCCCGAGGGAATATCCTACTGTCTCTTCTTCGAGTAGCTTCCAAAGTCCCGATTATCCTGGCACTTGCACCAAATCGTCGACCTATGCCCATCTTCGTCCACAATCCAAACTGCATTTAGGTAATGAGATGAGGGAGGGATCCGTGCAACGGTGCAGCCCGAACGGGGAGGTGGAGAGAGAGACGGCTAAAGGAGAAGCTGAAAGGATACGCAGGATCCAGGTGCGATCACCGTTACGGCCAGTGCTCGGTCTTGTTCTAGTCGAATTTGAACCAAGTCCGCTGCCATATGTATATATACATGTACATGTATATATATTTGTTGTATTTAGTTATCTGGATTGTCTACCACTGGTTTTTCGCTCTCTCTGTCTCTCATTTTGTAAAACGACTACGTTTTCTTTTTCTTGCCCAATACTGAGTCCAATGTGTGTGATTTTCTTGTGTCGTCGATTACAGCCCGTGCATATCGTTATTGTTGCTCTCCGTGCAATTGCTAATTATAGAATTATTATTTTATTCTATTCTCGCATAGTAAAATATTTTAATTTCTTGTCATTCGCATGAAGCAACAATAATACGATCTTCCTTTAAAAATATACTTTGCATGCTTATTCCGCTTCCAAATATGTGCCTTTTACGTATATTTGTTACTTGAATAGGCCTTATATTGCGCATACTCTAAGATATCATAGTATTTTTCTATTATATATATTTATAGAGTTTGTGATATTAATTTTGTGAGACATGATAAACAAGCGACATTATCAAATATCAATGAGATAATTCATGCAGAATAATTGAGAATTATCAATAACTCGTAGGAAATAAAAATTAATACATAGTTTCTTATTCCTTTTTACTTTTGGTTGCTGGCAACTTTACGTGACAGGTCTTTGCATTCGAATTGCTTAGCGAGGTATCCTGAAATTTACTGACAAATTGCATGATTTATTTCTCCATGTATAGCAACGACTGGTTGTACATATTTCCACAATAGATACTGAACGATGTTGTACTCATCGATGTGCTTTTATTGTATTTTGCAGTGTACCATTTTGTAATATAACATATATATATAATATATTTTCTTACAGGGTTTAAGAGTTTTCAGTTAATACGATTAACATGCAGCGTGAAAATTGATTGGATTCCGTCGTGTGCACGGCATGATTGAAGTAGTATATTTCGTGATCGATAAAGTTGCTAATGATCATTTATGTTTTAGGATGTCGAAGGAGGCCTCGTTTCTCTACAAGCAAGACTCTCGAATCTCGAAGGAACGATAGGTTATTTGCCTCGAGACAGCGTAGAATCTATGCTTTCATCTCTTATGGTAAGAATGTAAGATAAAATAGGAAGAAAATTACAGATATGATTATTAAAAATTCAACGAGGAAAAGTAATATTAATAAATAAAAAAGATTGAACCATTTCTGTTAAATTTGTATTGTCAAGCTTGTCGATTAATTCTGTTTCAAAAAAAGTACATTCGACGAGGCGATTGACTCATTGTAAAATCGAAAGATTCTTTCCATCTGTTTTAGACTATATTGACGGAGCTTCGTACTTATGACGAGGAAGCTACGCAACTTGAAAAGCGATTACACGAAATTCCTGCTGACATTGAGTGCCAAAGGCTCTCGGTAGCTTTAACGGGAATTCATACACGCGTCACTTCTCTTCTCGATCAAGCGGAACAAGGGAGGGTAGCTCTCGAACAGGCACGAGCAAACCGAGAGAGACGCGGCCAAGAGATTCATACTTATAAATTATTCCTCGAAGAGACAGATACTTGGCTAAGAAACGTCGTATCAAAACTACATGAGCAATATTCAATTAATACCAACAAGGTCTGTTTTCAATATAAACTTTTTTTTAGAGGATATCTCACTTTTTGCATTCGCTATATAACTGCTACTTTGAACTTTAATGTTTTATATTTAACAAAAGTCTTGGAAAACAATTAAATTAGATATATACAGGGTGAGTCTTTCCATATCCGACAAAATTTTTGAGAAGATAGAACGGATCGAGATGAATGGAAAAGTCCTGTACCATTTTGCAATTTTCGTAATAGTTAACGAGTAATTAATTATTAAAAATCGTTGTCTTAGA